TCCGCACTAAGGCATGTGGAAGACGAAGATTCTCTTGAACTTAATGCACTTCCGAAGGCCTGTGTTCATTTCCACGTGCCCTCAAACACTACAAAGGCCATGCGTGTTTCCACTACCAGCAGGAGGTAAATATTAGCATCTAGAGATGTGGCAAGGGCAAAACTTGTCTGTGAAAAAAAAAATGTGGACAGGGTTGTCTAACAAACCCAGGGTATTTATCTCAGACGTTCTCTCCCCAGACATCCCGTTTCTAAATAACATTTATTGAGCACCTACTATGTGGGAGTGAATGTGCTTGACACTGGAGACTTAAACATGAAAGTGGCAGTCCCTGAACCAGGAAATATCTGTTCAGGGGACAAGAACATCCCCAGTCAACTTTGTACTGCAAAGTAGATGTTTACAGTCATCTTCTCTATTTAAATAGACATAGACTCCTGAAGAACAAGTGTTTACGACCTCTACCTGCAAGGATTTCCAGAGACAGTGCTCCTTAACAGGCCCAAGTCTACCCTTGATTAAGTGGCAACTTCTTCAGCTTGGCTCCCATTATACATAAATTAACAGCTTTGACTGAACATTAGCTAGTTATCCAGATGAGAAAATGCAATGAAAAAGAATAGATGCTCCATTATCACCAAGAATTTGAGCACATACTATCTATTTACCCCTATCTGCTCGTCAACATCAGTCAATACTGATGTGGGAAAGCTTAGATAGATAATTTTAAGATCATGAGCTGAAAGCTACACCTCCTTCATTCTGTGTTGTCATGCTCATCCACCTGTCAATCACGGGAGCCCTCCCCAGGAAATACCTGCTCTTACCTAGGATGTCGGGGTGGTACCACGTAAACACTTCCATTTTTCTAAGCTCATAAAAACCTAGTAAGAATGGCATGCTCTCTTCTCCACGTGGACTCAGAACCAGCAGAGCAGGGTATGATATCCCCTTTCTTTGGCTCCATTCTCTCTTAATAAAGTCCTAATGGGCCTGTGTATTTTTCTCACTTTGTTCTTTTAATTTTTTTTATTTGACAGAGTTACACAGTGAGAGAGAGACAGAGAGAAAGGTCTTCCTTCCATTGGTTCACTCCCCAAATGGCTGCTATGGCCAGAGCTACGCAGATCCGAAGCCAGGAGCCAGGTGCTTCTTCCTGGTCTCCCATGGGGTGCAGGGCCCAAGCACTTGGGTCATCCTCCACTGCCCTCCCGGGCCACAGCAGAGAGCTGGACTGGAAGAGGAGCAACTGGGACCAGAACCTGGCGCCCATATGGGATGCCAGCTCCGCAGGCGGAGGATTAACCAAGTGAGCCACAGAGCTGGCCTCATTTTTCTCACTTTGTAAATAGTTTATAACACTGCATGATGTGTTTGGACCTGTATTTAGAATTCTTCTCTAAGTAAAAGGCAAGAACCTGGAAAATTAAGTTAGGCCCCAACCCACCCCATAACAATACTACAAAAATACTCAGGGAAAACTTATGCAGTATTAAATTTAGAATGAATATAAATTTACTGTATTTTTCCTTATAGTTAATATATGCCCTGGAGGAGAGACTTTGTGACTACCCAAATCCTTTTGTTCCTCAAAACTTTGCCCACTGTGTCTAGTATCCACCAGTGGACCCACTTGCAACAATTATCACCGTGGATACAGCAAATTGGCAATTTTCCATGTCCCTCATTTTTTGACATCTACTAATTGGCATGTTTTTAAAAAGAGCAGTCAGCTTCCCATACACAATTTATCTTCACTATGAATAGGTTCCACTTTCAAGAATTTTCCTACCTGCTAACATTTATTAGTTACCCTCAAACCAGCACTCAAGGCATCTTCTTGGTCACTCACAGACATGCGGAAAGCAGCAAAAAATGTTTTGATGCCCACATCCCTCGCTGAGGGTGAACAAAACGATAATGCCTTTTTATCTCAGTTCTCGAACTGTCAACAAGTGTCCTTTCTGCAGTCTATTTAGTGCCACACTTTTCATATTTTTGTGCTTTTCTTGGTGATTTTGTTGCTCAAGACAGCTGCAAGCATGGTGCTGAAGTGTGCGCAGCGCTGCTCCCCACGAGAAAGCTGTGACGTGCCTTACAGAGAAAACGAGAGTGTCAGGTGCGCCTCAGTGAGCCCCGACTGTAGTGCTGCTGGCTTTGAGCTCAATGTCAACAAACCACAAAAAATATTCAAGGAGGCATTTAAAAGTAGAAATGCGTGTACCACAAGATTATGTAATGACTATTCACCACAGGCTCATAGGAATAAAATTTGTATTTTTCCTTTAAATGCTGTTCAGTATTTGCTATGTCAGTATTCAGTGACTTAATAGAAATATTGTGAATAACAAAATTGACTGTATCTATTTAACCAATTATGTCTTTGCATCACTCCAAACATACGGTTATTTACATTATTTTACAGTTTATAATCCAATACTATCATTGTGCACTGTGTTGCTCAAAATGTGTGTTCTTTGGCCATTAGGATAGTCACTTTATAGTGGAAAAGCTTAGAGGTGAGGTTCCTCACCAAGTCACCAACACCAACATCACCAATAATGCTAACATTATGTAGCATTATCATAATGCTACTCCAATTCAATGCACTGAGAAGGATGAGGCAACATTTTTTGGATGGATAACCTCAATCCAGTCATGAGAAGATCCCAGACAGGCCTACATTAAGAGGCAGGAAGCAAAATAATAGATCCATGCTCTTCAGGGGAGTCAAAGTCTCTCTCTCTCTCTCTCTCTCACACACACACACACACACACAACAAAACAACAAAAACAAGAAATGACTAAGAAGCTGTTTAAAACAGCAAAAGACCACAAAGAAATAATAGCCAAATGCAATGTATATTCCTGAATGAAACCTTGAGAACAATAACAACAGAGAAAAAAGTGGAAGCTTCAGAGTGAAGTTCAAATGGAGGCTTGATAATACCAGACAAAATAGACTTTAATACAAAAACTGTTAAAAGAGACAAAGAAGGGTATTATGTAATTATTAAGGGATCTATGCAAAAGCAAGATGTGACTCTAATAAATATATATACATGCAATGCAAGGGCACCTAGCTATTTAAAACAAATGTTAATGTATCTAAAGGGAGACACAGACTCCAGCACAACAGAATTGGGGGACTTCAACACCCCACTTTCATCGATGGACAGATCAACTAGACAGAAAATCAACAAACAACAGAGCTAATCTACACCATAGACCTAATGGATCTAACTGGTATCTATGAAACCTTTCATCCCACAGTTAAAGAACACACATTGTTTCATCAGTGCATGGAACTTTCTCTAGGTCAGACCGCATGATAGGCCATAAAACAAGTCTCAGCAAATTCAAAAAAATCGAAATCATACCATGTATCTTTTCTGACTGCAATGGAATGAAGGTGGAAATTAACAACTCCAGAATCTCCAGAACATACACAAACACATGGAGACTGAACAACATGCTTCTGAAAAGTGGGTAATAGAAGAAATCAAAAATAGAAATAAAAATATTTCTAGAAATATTTCTAGAAATGATAAAGATGACAATACAACATATCAAAACTTACTGGATACAGCAAAACCAGTGTTAAGAGGAAAGTTTATAATAACTGGAGTCAACATGAAGAAATTGGCAAGTCACCAAATACACGAGCTATCAATAATCTCAAGGACCTAGAAAAACAACAACAGATCAAACCTAAAAATTAGAAGGAGGAAATAAGTAATTAAAATTAGAGAAGAAATAAACAAAATTGAAACCAAAAAAATACAAAAGATTACTAAAATGATAGATTTTTAAAAAATAAACAAAATTTATACACCATTAGCCTAACTAACCAAAAAAATAAAAAATAGGGAGAAGAACCAAATAAATAAAATCAGAGATGAAAAATTAAATATAACAACAGATACCAGAGTTCTGTCCCAGCTGCTCTTCTTCTGATCCAGTTCTCTGCTGATGGCCTGGAAAAGCAGTGGAAGATGGCTCAAGTGCTTGGGCCCCTGCACCCACATGGGTCACCCAGATGAATTTCCTGGATCCTGGCTTTGCATCTGCCCAGCTCTGGCCATTATGGCCATTTGGGAAGTGAACCAGCAGGTGGACGACCTTTCTCTGTTTCTCTGTCTCACTGTCTATGATTCCACCTCTCAAATAAATAAATAAAATCTTTTTTATTAAATAAAGTGTTATCTTACCTCTGTATTCACTGCAGCTGAATTCATAATAGCTAAAATATGGAATCAACTAAGATGTCCATCAACTGTGACTGGATAAAGAAACAATGGCATGTTTACACTATGAAATACTACTCTGAGGTAAAAAAACGATATCCTATCTTTTGCAACGAAATTTATTACAACTTGAAACTATTATACTTAGTGAAGCAAGCCAATCTCAGGAAGAGAAATACCATATATTTTCTCTGATCTGTGATAACTAATAGAATACATAAAATGTAATATATAGCAGTGAAATGGACATTTTGAGATTCGATGACTGTTTACATCCCTTATCTCTACTGTTGACAAACAGTATTTTTTTCCTTATACTATTTGTTGAACTCTTTATTTAATGTAGGGTTAATCTTATGAGTATAACGTAAACTGAAAATAGATATTTGTAAATATTAAGGGTGTGAATAGGAAAGAGAGGAGGAAGAAAGTTGGGTGCATGGGTGGGAGAGAGGGATGGGTGGTATGAATTACCATGTTCTTAAATCTGTATAGATAGAATGTATGAAATTTGTATAACTTAAATAAAACAAAGTGAAACAAATGGAGGATTGAGTTCATTGTACTAAACCAGTGTTAATTTCTCAGTGGTGATAATTATACTGTGATATATAAAATGTTAACAGTAGCGATAGTAAGGAATTAAGATATTTACAAAGATAATGTAGAAAGTCTATTTTGTATTTTCCTCTAAGTCAAAAAGTAATTCCAAATTTTGACCATTAGGTGGTCTTGCATAGCCTTGGTTGCAGAAGTTGCTGTAGAGGGTAGGGTAGGGTGGGAAATTGCATTTCAGAGATCAGGGAGATTAGAGTTCTCAATCTTCCAGAAATTCTCTCTAAATTAAAAAAACTGAGGAATAAGGGAATAAATAGATGCCTTCTATTTTAAGATATTGCAGAAGACTCGCTTGCTCCTAGGCAAGATGCTTTCCCTCTAGCTGGTGACCTTGGGCAAACTATCATCTCCATTTAGTCATCCACAGAATGAAGGAGTTGAAATGATACCTGATATTCCTTAGAGCAGAAAATCTTGTGAGTCTAAATTAACCTTGTTATTCAGCATTGGAAATCAGGTACTGTAAGAATACCCTTTGGATGCTAATGTGTTCTCCTTTCTCTGTAAAAAGCAGCAATGTTGACATTTCATGGGAAATGAATCCCAAGAGTTGGAAGAAATTCTGCAGCAGTGCCCCCTGAAGCTCATCTATATAAAATCGATACAATTTGTATGCTCAGAAACAGCACAGACATTCCTAAAATGTCAAGAATTATATATCGCTTAAAAATGTGGAAGTCACTGAAACATTATTTGGAAAATTAGATCATAAAAATGCATGTGTATAATGATAAATATTTTCTGACAAATATTTTAAATGGAGATTTGGTAGCATTTCTGATTATATCATAGAAGAGTATTATTTTATTAGACTTAAGTCACTGAAATAAGAAAAATATATCCAGGGCCAGCACTGTGGTGCAGCAGATTAAGCTGCCATCTGAAGTGCCAGCATCCCATATGGGCACTGGTTAGAGTCCCAGCTGCTCCACTTCCAATCCAGCTCTCTGCCATGGACTGGGAAAGCAGTAGAAGACGGCCCAAGTCTTTGGGCCCCTGCAACAGCGTGGGAGACCTGGAAGAAGCTCTTGGCTCCTGGTTTCGGATTGGCAGAGCTCTGGCCATTACGGCCGACTGGGGAGTGAAGCAGCAGATGGAAGCCCTCTCTCTCTCTGCCTCTGCCTTTCAAATAAATAAATAAATCTTTAAAAAAAGAAGGAATGAAAACAGGATAATGAAAAGAGTGAAGCTCTGTTTGTGTCATTTCACACAGGTAGTAATTTTCTGACCTATTTTATGGGATGCAATATACTCTGCTAAGAAATTTAAATTTACATATTTTGAACTACAATTAATTCTCAGCAAATTATTTCTTCCAAAGTTAATAATGTAAGAAGTTTTTAAAAATCTAATGCATTAATCACTAATAAATCCAATTTAAATAGCAAAGTCTAATATTAAAAGAGCAGTATGGTCACCAAACTAGCAAAAAATTAATACTGTAGATTCTTGTCCATTTGTATTTTTATCCCTATTTATCCTGGTCAAATAACTTCATTCTCAAGGTCTTATTTTATTAGCTGCAGTACAAAATAATATAGGCTATACATATAGGGTTATAATGAAGATTAAATGCAATAATGCACATAAAATTCTTGGCAGAGCATCTAGTAAATGTACTATATAGAAGGAAAATTAGCATTATATAAGTTTTAAACAGATAAATTATGTACACTTGTATGTGTGATGTGAGTGTATAAAAAAGGAAGAAAATAAAACAAAATATAAGCAAATGTTGCCTTTGTATAGAGGATAATAGTAATTATACCTTCTTTCATTGGATTTCTTTCTTTTGCCAAATTTCCTACAACACATATTTCTTCTATAATGAGAAAACATAGGTAATTTTATAAACCAAGCAAGGTAGATAAGGACTAAACCCACAAATGCGTTATTTTATAACTTCCTTTCCTTTTAATGATATTTATCTAGTCACTTCTGACCCAGGGAAAAAGACATATGGAGCTGGAAGGTTCATTTCCACTCGATCTTGGTTAAAGTTAGGTTGAGTGTGCAATGTGGCTTCATGGGCAGCACTGAAAAATACTCACAATTCCTGGGGGAGGTTGAAGAGTAAAAGTAGGAGACCTCCAAGTAGTGGCAGAATGAGACAGAACAGCCAGGAAAGGAAGCCCTAAGCGAGGGCCACTACCAAAACTCTCGGTGACCCGCAAGAGGCTGCCAGCGAGCATGAGAAGAAAGAACAGGTTGAGTTTTTGACTATGGGTTAGTCTGTATACAAAGCATCCACAGAAACTTTAAAAACACCTAGGGCCTATAAAGTGTGCTTGAAAGTCACAACTCCATCCCAGCCATGTGGAAAAATCTCAACCAACTGAAAAAGCAAAAAGTCATTTTGAATCTCCAAGAGAAGTGAGATCAAGGGGCAAGGGGCAGACTCCCACACTGCAGAGGAAGACAGGTGGATACAGAACCTGTCAACTCACCAGAGCAGGAAGTCGCCAGCAGAAGCCTTCACAGAAATCAGGGCCTGAACAAATCACTGGTGGCTCTGTGTGAACAGCTCAGGGTGAAACACTCCAGGGGAAACCGTGTCCCTGTGGGACCTCTGCTACTAAGTTCTCCCAGTGACTACCGGAGAAAAGGAACCAAGTACACTAGAGCATTTTGTTCTGCTTTAACAGTGTCTGCCTTCAGAAGAGCATATTTAACCAAGGCCTCACCTATTCCAGGGTTACCACAGCCTAAATGACCTGGGGGATGTGGCATACCCAGCTCCAGGCCCCTGCTGCCATCCTGTCCCACCTGAAGGAGTTGGAAACGCTAAGAAACAAGCGTGACATTCACGGAGCCGAGGCACAGGCTTAGTCAAGGACTGAGAACTAATGACAGCATGCTTTCTTTTCCTTCGCACCTCACCTCCACCACATTACTCAATGCCTGTGTACAGCAGTTTACTTTAGCCAGGACATCGTGTCCAGCTATCAGGAAAAATTACAAGGCACACTACTAGGCAAAAACACACACGTGGAAAAGACACAGCAGGCATCAGAATCAATTCAGTTATGGAAGGGGTGTTGGAATTATCAGCCTAGGCATTTAAAACAGCTATGCTTGATATGCTGAGGACTGTAATTGATAAAGTTGATAGTAAATAAGAACAGATGACCAGGGGGCAGTGTTGTGGCACGTTGGTTTGAGCCTCCATTTGCAATGTTCACACCCCATATGGAAGTGCGTAGTTTGAGTACTGGCTCCTGGGCTTCCAATCCACCTTCTTGCTAACACATTCTGGCAGGCAGCAGATAATGGCTAAGGTGCTTGTGTCTCTGCTACCTATGTGAGAGAACCTGATTGGGTTCTGGGCTCCTGGCCTTGGATTGACTCAGCCTGTTTGTTGCAGGAATTTGATATATAAATCAGCACATGGAAGAGATTCTCTCTCTTTCACACATGCACACACACACACACACACACATTCTCTCTGTCATTCTATCTTTCAAGTAGATGAAAATAAATAAAAATATACATTAAAAAAAAACAGAAGACCAATATGAAAAGAGAGATGTAATTCTAAGAACAGAAATGAAGAATGCCTTTGATGGGCTCATTATTAGACAACACAGTTGAGAAAAGAAGTTACATGTGAGCTTGAAGATGTCTCAACAGAACCCTTAAAAATTCATAAAACAGAGAAAAAAAGATGGCAATAACAAAACAGAATATTTAAGAACTGTGTGTGGGACAACTACAAAAGTTGAAACACATAAAGGGAATATCAAACAGAGAAGAAAGAAAGAAACAAAATAAATGTTTGAAACAATACTGACTGTGAATGTGCCCAAATCAATGTCTGATACCAAACCACAAACCTAGGAAGTGTACACAATATTAAATAAGAAAAATTCAAAATGAAAACAAAACATCAGGTAGGTCCATCATTTTCAAACTACAGAAAATTGATGATTTTTTAAAATGTTATAGGAAGTCAAAGCAGGAAAGAAAGCCTTTATACAGAGAAGAACAAAAGTAAAACCTACATATGACTTCTTTTCAGAAACCATGCAAGCAACAAAAAAGTAGAGTGAAATATTTCAGAGGCTGAGAGTAGAGAATCACCAATCCAGAATTTTGAACTCTGCAAAAGTGAAGAAAATACAGAAACTTTCCCAAACAAAATTTGAGAGAATCTGTTACCAGTAGAACAGACTTGCAAGAAGTACTTAAGGAATATATATATATATATATATTTTTATTTTTGACAGGCAGAGTGGACAGAGAGAGAGAGATACACAGAGAGGTCTTCTTTTTCTGTTGGTTCACCCTCCAATGGCCGCTGCGGCCAGCACGCTGCATCTGGCGCATTGCACTGATCCAAAGCCAGGAGCCAGGTGCTTCTCCTGGTCTCCCATGCAGGTGCAGAGCCCAAGCACTTGGGCCATCCTCCACTGCACTCCCGGGCCATAGCAGAGAGCTGGACTGGAAGAGGAGCGACTGGGACAGAATCCGGCGCCCCAACTGGGACTAGAACCCAGTGTGCCGGCACTGCAAGGTGGAGGATTAGCCTATTGAGCCGTGGTGCCAGCCTATTTTTATTTTTCCTACTTTAAATTTTGTTTTGAACTACAAATAACAATTGTTTATATGTACAGGATAAAATCTGATGCTCTGATCCATGTAGACATTGAAGAAAAATTCCATCAAGCTAATGAACATATCTATCACCTCACCAACTTAGCTTTTTTTGTGGTAAGAGCATTAATAACCTAGTCTTTTGGCAGTGTTGAAATACATAATACATTATTGCTTTCAGAGGTCACCACCCAGTGGGAAATTTATTTCCACAGCTGAACTAAGACTTTGTATCATTTTATCAACATCTTCCACTTACCCCACCACTCCTCTTCCCCTACTTCTGGTAATCACCTTTCCAGTCTGTTTCTATAACACCAACCTTTTTAGATTCCACATATGGGAGAAATTACACAATGTTTGTCTTTGTGTGCTTGGTGTATCTGAATTAGCAAAATTTCCTCCAGTTCTATCCACATTATCACAAATCACACAATTTGCTTCTTTTAAAATGTTGTATGGTATTTCATCGTGTGTATGTATATTATACCTCATTTTCTTTATATATTTATACACTGATGAACATTTAGGTTGCTTCCATATCTTGGATATTGTAAGTGATATGAAACAAACACAGGAGTGCAGGTATCTCTTTGACAAACTGATTTTAATTTCTTCAGATATATACCAAGAAGTGAGATTGCTGAACCATATAGTAATTCTATTTTAAAGGGAACCATTATACATTGTTAATAGGAAAATAAGTTAGTATATCCATTTTGGAAAATAGTATGAAGGTTCTTCAGAAGGAAAAAAACCACACAAACAAGTTCCTTATGGAGAAAGAAGTTGATATAATTCAGAAACTTAGATTTACAAAAGAAACCAAGGATATCAAAAATGAAGAACATAATTGTTAAATCATACATATGACCAGTCGTGAACATTTTAATGCAAATATATATTTTGAAAAAAATATACATGGATTTCAAAAATTTTTTCAACAAAATATACTTTTTAAAAAAAGATTTTATCTTATCTATTTAAAAGTCAGAGTTACAGAGAGAGAGAAGGAGAGGCAGAGAGAGAGAGAGGGAGGGAGAGAGAGAGGGAGAGAGAGAGAGAGAGGTCTTCCATCCGCTGGTTCACTCCCTAATTGGCCACAATGGCCAGAACTGTGCCATTCTGAAGCTAGGAGCCAGGAGCTTCCTCCAGGTCTCCCACATGGGTGGAGGGGCCCAAGGACTTGGGCCATCCTCTACTGCTTTCCCAGGTCATAGCAGAGCTGGATTGGAAGTGGAGCAGCCAGGACTCGAACTGGCACCCAGATGGGATGCCAGCACTGCAGGTGGCAGCCTTACCCACTACACCACAGTGCCGGCCCCCAAAATACACTTTTTAAATTCTATTGTTATGTACTTTTTAAAGTCTCCTTATATTAATTCAACTGTATCAAGAATCACTTTGATCTTTCTCCCTTTCTCTTTCTCTGTCTCCTTCTCTCTGCCTCTCAATAACCATAAAACAAAGCAGAACAGAACAAAACAAAACAACCTGTAAATCTCAGGCCAGTCATGATGGTGCAGAGGGTTGTTGGCAACCCATAACGGAGCAGATGTTGTGATGCTGGCATCCCATAACGAAGCAGAGTTCAAGTTGCTCCACTTCTGATCTAGCTCCCTATTAATGTGCCTGAGAAAGCAGCAAAGATGATCCAAGTACTTGGGCCCCTGCCACTCTTGTAGGAGACCAGGATAGAGTTTCAGGCTCCTGAATTCAGTCTGACACAGCCACAGCTATCGTGGCTATTTGGGGAGTGAATAAGAAGATGGAAAAACTCTCTCCCCATCCCTTTCCTGTCCCCTCTCACTCTCACTCCCTCTCTCTCTCTCTGTCTGTCTCTGTCTCTCTGTCATTCTTTCAAATAATAAATTTTTAAAATTCAGATAATGTGATACTGGTAAAAGAATAGAGGAATAGATCAGTGAACAAAAGAGACTGCAGACATACACACACATACACACATGATTCTATACACACACAAGCACAATTCCAGAAACAGATACATCCACATGTGTAGATACTCCTGGAAACAAACATACACACAGACACCTGCTCCCACAAACAGACAGACATATACACCCTATTCACATAATATACAATTGATTTTGAGCAAAGGCAATACAATGAAGGAAAGATGGACTTTTCAACAAATGATGCTGAACCTAAAGAATAAAATGAATCTAGATACAAACTTTACTCCCATCAAAAAATGAACTGTAAAACACAAAACTATAAAATTCCTAGACTATAATAAAGGAGAAAACATAGATGACCACCTTGGGAGTGGAAATCCGTTAGACACAACACCAAAGTCACGAACTATAAAAGAAATAATAAATCAAATTTGATTAACACTAAAAATTTCTGTTCTGTGAGAGACTCTGTTAAAAGACTAAAATGACAAACTGAAGACTGGATGAACATAATTATGACATATGTAATAAAAGACTCACCCGAATTACTCAAATAACTTTTAGAACTCGACAATAAGAAAACATACAGACCAGCTCCGCGGCTCAACAGGCTAATCCTCTGCCTGTGGCTCTGGCACCCAGGTTTTAGTCCGGTTGGGGCGCCGGATTCTGTCCCGGTTGTTCCTCTTCCAGTCAAGCTCTCTGCTGTGGCCCGGGAAGGCAGTGGAGGATGGCCCAGGTCCTTGGGCCCTGCACTCCCATGGGAGATCAGGAAGAAGCACCTGGCTTCTGGGTTCAGATCGGCGCAGCGCACCAGGCATAGTGGCCATTTGTGGGGTAAACCAACGGAAGGAAGACCTTTCTCTCTGCTCTGTCTCACTAACTCTGCCTGTCGAAAGAAAAGAAAAGAAAAGAAAAGAAAAGAAAAGAAAAGAAAAGAAAAGAGAAAAGAAAAGGAAAAGGAAAAGACAAGACATACAAACCAATTTAAAAATGGCCCAAAGATCTTAACAAATGCTTAACCAAAGAAGATATTCAGATAAAAAATACACATATAAAAAGATGCTCCACATCCTATGTCACTAGAGAAACACAATCAAAAACACAAGACATCATTACACAACTATTGGAATGACCCAAATCCAGAACACTGACAACACCAAATACTGGCAAGTATATGGAGCAACAGGAATTCTCATTCATTGACGGTGTGAATGTAAAATGGCATAGCTACTTTGGAACACAATTTAGGAATTCTTATAAAATTAAATGTACAGGGCCGGGGCCGTGGCTCACTAGGCTAATCCTCTGCCTAGCGGCGCCAGCACACCAGGTTCTAGTCCTGGTCAGGGTGCCAGATTCTGTCCCAGTTGCCCCTCTTCCAGGCCAGCTCTCTGCTGTGGCCAGGGAGTGCAGTGGAGGATGGCCCAAGTACTTGGGCCCTGCACCCCATGGGAGACCAGGAGGAAGCAACTGGCTCCTGCCATCGGATCAGCGTGGTGCGCAGGCCGCAGCACACCGGCCGCGGCGGCCATTGGAGGGTGAACCAATGGCAAAGGAAGACCTTTCTCTCTGTCTCTCTCTCTCACTGTCCATTCTGCCTGTCAAAAAAAAAATTAAATGTACTTTTTTCCTGCCAGAAATCTTTAAGATATACAAACTTCATGCATTTCATAAAAGCAAATTTAGGAACACAGTGATTCTTCCCACTCTACCCACCCTCCCACCTGCACTCCCATCCTTCTTCCTCTTCCCTCTCCTATTCCCATTCTTATTCTTTTCAAAGATCTATTTTTTTTTTTTTTTGACAGGCAAAGTGGACAGTGAGAGAGAGAGAGACAGAGAGAAAGGTCTCCCTTTTCCGTTGGTTCACCCTCCAATGGCCGCTGCAGCCAGCGTGCTGCGGCTGGCACACTGCGCTGATCCAAAGCCAGGAGCCAGGTGCTTCTTCATAGTCTCCCACGTGGGTGCAGGGGCCCAACCACTTGGGCCATCCTCCACTGCACTCCCGGGCCACAGCAGAGAGCTGGACAGGAAGAGGGGCAACTGGGACAGAATCCAGCACCCCGACCGGGACTAGAACCCGGTGTGGCGGTGCCACAAGGCGGAGGATTAGCCTAGTGAGCCATGGCGCTGGCCTCAAAGATCTATTTTCAACTAACTTTATACACAGAAGATTAATCTTACACTAAGTAAAGAGTTCAATAACTAGTGTAAAAAAAAATCCGTTCCTCAACAGTCAAGACAAGGGCTGTTGAAAGTCATTGCATCTCCAAGTGTTAATTTCACTTCTATAGATTACCTTTTAATGTTCCATTAGTTACCACAGATCAGGGAGAACACATGATATTAGTCTTTATGAGACTGGCTTATTTCACTTAAGTAGAGTGTTTTCCAGTTGCATCTATTTTGTTACAAACAATAGGGTTTCATTTTTTTTTTTACCATTGTGTTGCATTTCATGGTGTACATAACCCATAATTTCTTTATCCAGTCTTCAGCTTCCAGACATCTGTGTTGACTCCATATCTTAGCTATTGTGAATTGAGTGGCAGTAAACATGGAGGTACAGATAACTCTTTCATATGCTGTTTTCAACTTCTTTGGGTAAATTCCCAGGAGTGGCATGGTTGGGTCATATGGTAGATGTCAATTCAGATTGTTCCGGTATCTGCAGACTGTCTCTCACAGTGGCTGCACCAGTTTACATTCCCACCATTAGTAGATTAGGGTACCTTTCCCCGCCCCGCATCCTTGTCAACATTTGTTGTTTGTTGATTTCTTGTATGAGAGCCATTCTAACTGGCATGAGGTGAAACCTCATTGTGGCTTTGATTTGCATTTCCCTGATGGCTAGTGATCCTTAGCATTTTTTCATGTGTCTTTTGGCCACTTGGATTTTCTCTTTTGAAAATGCCTTTTCAATTGCCCAATTAAATGTACTCTTACACATAAGATCTAGCAATTGTACTTCTTGGTATTTACTCAAAGGAATGGAAAACGTATGTCCACATACAAACATGCACATGATGTTTACAGCAGCTTCATTCACAACTGCCAAAATGTGAAAGCAACCAAGATGCCCTTCAGCCGGCAAATGGATAAACCATCAGCTATCCACAACACTACTCAGCACAAACAAAAGAATGAGCTATCAGCCATGAAATGACAAAGAAACTTACACGTTCAATACTAAGTGAAAGAAGCCAGCGTGTATAAACTACAGACTACATGCTTCTCACTATGTGATACTCTGAAAAGGGTAAAACTACAGACACAGTCAGAATAGTGGAAGTTTCCAGGGTTAGGGAAGATGGCACGATGAACAAACACAGCCCAGAATCTACAGCAGTGAAAACACTTGGTACGGCACTATAATGGTATATGCATTTCACCATACATCTGCCCAATCCCACAGAGTATATTACACTAAGAATGAACCCTATGGTAAACTCTATAATTACATGTGATTGTAGGTTAGTCAACTGTAACAAATATACCATGCTGGTGGAGGGTGCTAACAATGAGGGAGGTCATGCATTTTGGGGAACAGGGGCATTTGGAAATCTCTGTACCTTCTAATCATTTTTGTTTTGAACATAAAACTTCTAAAAAATAAGTCTATATAAAAATCTACTGGGTACCTTAAAGAGAAAATATAATTAGAGTTTCCTGTGACAAACGAATATTGCCATGCCACTGATTATTCTTGAGGTCTTTTTCCCAGTCATGCTCACAGTTTAATAATTATTTTTGTTTCTTTCCAGCATTTTGTGAAGAGACTCCGGACACTGATAAGAATACAAACATTCAAAAGATTAGATGAGGAACTTCCTATTTACACTTTCTACATGTAACAAAAACCTCGATTACCCTTTATGAGTTATTCATGTTGTTAGACAAACAATTATAAAACTAACCCCTTGCAAAGAGCACTGGCCATAACCCCACATAACTGCTAGGTAGACTGGGAGCAACCTCCACTGCCCTTAGCTCTGGGATCATGTGCTTCCCTGAACAGAGCTGGATGCTACTGAGCTACCACTCATCACTGGCACATATTTTTCCAGGGCAGTTAAAATACTCATGCTTACCCAACCGCTTGTACTACTACTTCATCTTCCCCAGGGGCCAATTTGCCTCAGCTGACCATGGTGAAAAGCACAGCCAGTGGCCACAAGAGAGAATCAAGCTGACGCAGTAACTAAGGATGAAATCTATGACTTGGTTTCATTGAATTCAGGAACCAGAATCCTTGAACCAGACGGCTGTCCACCAGCCAAGTCACAAAAGCAGTAGGGCTACCGAGCTGCACAGTATGAACTGGTAGTCTGTGAACAGAATTAAAAATACAATTTAATTCCACTCACTTGTATTTTTAGGAATATGGAGGGGCTATTTACTGGTAAATATTAAGTGAATTATTAAGGGCTACTAACTGTGTTGTTACTAAATTAACTTAGTACATTGCCAGAGTTTACCAAGGATTCATGCTATATTTTTCTCAAATGAGTTAGTGCCAGCAATGCTTGGCAACATTTGAAAGTTCCCATTGGGCATGCCCCACATATAAATAGAATTCCTGCACATTTGGTAGCAGAGACTTAGGAGGGAGCCTCACCACTGTCAATGTGAGTTGGTCAGGTTTTTAATTACTTCTAATTTTCCTTTTTAATTATAAATTATAAATTCTTCTTGGTTTAGCATCTTCATTATGGATTTAGAATGTTGTGGGTTGTTCAGTTAATACGGGCGACTACTGTGTGAGGGATTAGGCTAGGCCCAAGGCTGACATCTTTATATGCTCATTTGCTGCTCTAACACCCTTTTGAGAAAGATAAGGCTACCATTCTCATTTTATGTAGGAGGAAACAAAGGCACAGAGAACCTAAATAACCTGCCTAAAACCATAGGGCCGAGAACTGCAGAGTCAGGAATTACAGATCTTCACTGTGTCGGGGCAGGAAGGCATCAGCAAACTTTCTCTGAAAATGGTCAGACACGAAGTATTTTCGTCTCTGCTGTGATAGCCCTAAAGCTGGCATAAGCACTATCGAAACAAATGGGCATGGCTATGTTTAAATAAAGCTTTATTTACAAAAACAGGCAGCAAGCAGACCTTGGCCTGTGAACTGTAATTTGCTGGCTCCTTCTCCAGAGCCCTCACTCTTAACTGCCATGCCATTAACATTTGCTTCCCAACTTCCACTGAGGCACATACACAGATTAGGAGATGAGAATTCTCTGTTATACCGAGATGCAAAATCTTTCTGATTCAAGTGTCAATCATCTATACCCTCATTGGTAAAAATGATAATAAAATAGGTGCCTGTACAGAATTAAATTCACTGGCAATGTGAAGAAAGGTAGTTTGTCATTTTTTTTTTAGCTGTAACAGATTATCAAAGTGAGCACAGAAAGATGAGTTAAATTTATATTACAATGTTCTAAGATATGAAGATTATACATAAGTTTATTATTTTAAAGTAAGAACGCAATCTCTATGTATTTGGCCTCAATGTTTTATATGTGGTTGGAACACAAGAGGCAGGGAGGGCAAGGGGTCTTTTTAGCCACTTAGAATTTCTGCAGAATCCCCAACATGAAGGGACAAGCCAGGGAAGCTTCATACAGCTCTCAAACGGCAGCAGCAAGGACAGAGGACATTTTCTATGCAGCCACAACCTAACACAATGGCTGCCATGAAGGACAGTTGCAAACTATGCGTTGAAATCCTAGGTCCTTCCTAAACTATGAGTTTTTAAGTCCTTCCAAAACTAAGAGTTGAAATCCTAAGTCCTGCATGACTACATTTGAAGATAGGACCTTTAAAGAGACAAGGTTAAATGAGGTCAGTTGGGGTGAACCCAGCCCAATAACACTGGTATC